ATTATTATCATAATCCACATACTTTCCAAACAGGCAATGAAGTAAATACATTTTTGTGTCTGTGTAAACACTTCTGCCCATCCCAGCTGTCCCATCTGTACTTTGGTACTGCTTTCACATTAGTATCCATGCTAGATAATAAACAAAATTTTCTCCCAACTCTGCTGCCTCTCAAATAGCAGCCTTTCTCATTTTGTCATTTGAACTTCTTGAGCCCCACCAGGCTGGAGGTGGGATTACAATCTTGGCTGTGCCTTTTTTAGTCTTTCTAACTTAAAGATATGTTGGAAAGAAATTATATAAAAGGGCTTCAGCGTAAGAACTTCCTGAAAACTAAACAGAATCAAACAAATGTGTTGTTGGGGGAGAACACAGCCCCTCCAAACAAGTTTGAAAATGGGCTGCATTAGATTGAGGTCTACAGCAAAAGAATATTTTCAGAAATTTTCCCCAATGCATCTCTGTGGGAGAGGCAGTTGGATAGCTGGTACTCCTTGACTTAATGACAATTGGGACTGGAATTTCCATTGCTAAGTGATGCGGTCATAAAGCATGACCACATCGCTTAGTGATGGCGATCCCTGCAGCCCCGGTTGCTGTCATTAACTGAAGTGCAGCAGTCGTTAGGCAAGGACCTCCTTATAACTTCCCGCTGGCTTCCCACAACCAAAGTCAGTGGGGAAGCCGGCAGGAAGTTGCAAGTCCCAGGCAGATAGGTAAGTGGCTGTTGCTGGCTGGGGGAGGGAGTGAGGGGGTGTGGGATAGGATCAGGGAGGGGGTGCAAGAGGTGCCACGCAGGTCAGTAAGGGTATGCAAGAGGTGCTGTGTGGATTAGGAAAGGTGTGTGGGGGTGCGTGAGAGGTGCTGCATGGGTCAGGGAGGGTACGTAAGAGGCATGCGTGTATCGGATGCATGGGGATGCACGAGAGGTGCTGCACAGGTCTGGGAGGGGGGTGCAGGGGTGTGGCATGGGTCAGGAAGGATGCATGAGAGGTGATACCGGGGTTGGGGAGAGTGCATGGGAGTGCAGCGTGGGTTTGGGAGGGTGCACAGGAGTGCGCGAGTGGCCACCACAACTCAAGCACAGAGAGGCTGGGGAGGGTGCATGGGTGGGGGAGACTTACCCCAGTAACTTGTGACCTTCCCTGCCAGCTTCCCCATTGACTTTCTGGGGAATCCGGCAGGGAAGATCGCAGATGGCAATCACATGATCGCGGGGTGCTTGGTAACCGATTGTAAATGCAAACGGGTTGCCAAGCGCCCAGATGACAATTATGTGACCGCAGGGACACTGCAACAGCTGTAACTTCGGGGACTGGTCATAAGTCCCTTTGTTCAGCACCATAGTAAAACTTCAAATGGTCGCTGAACAAATGGTCATAAGCCAAGGACTACCTGTACGTCAGTAAGTGTTCCATCCCAAGATCTCCTCCTTCTCCTCAATCACATGATCCAGAATGGCATGTGTGCAATCTGCCCCAAGGTTCCTAGTGCGCATATACACAAAGACATATGGTCACTGCTAGTAGGGTTGGAAAGAATTCCAGAAGTCAATTGCAGAAGCCACGTTCTCTACACAAACTTTGTTGGAACATGGATTCTGCATATCACATGTCCATAATTGCTGGAAAGGAGGAAATCTCAAGGCCTGGTTTCAGTTGGATTTGGCAACATACATTAATATGAAAAGTAGACATTGCCCAGAATTTTTGTCTTGTGCGTGTGTTTTTTCTATCAGTTGCTCCTTTTTTTGGTAAGGATTATCTTAAATTTCCAAGGTTGTGCTGGCTGGTGAGTTCTGGTGTGCCATCTGGTTAAGTTGTATTTATGAAAGGATGGTTCATTGCACCACATTTGAGAACCTCTGTTATATTGTACTGCCCTCGTGACATTGCAGTTGACATTAATTGTGAATTTGCAATCCAAATTCATTGGAAAAAAAGTAAGACAGTTTATATTAAAATATGTTAGGATACCTGAGGCTTGAAATAAAAGTGCTGGGAGATAGTAAAGGTAAAAAAATAATTTGTATAAGGAATGAGGGAGGGAGATCAGAAGAAGTGTTGTAACTTACTATCAGGACAAAGATAAAAGCAAGGGAACTAGGTGAAGTAGATAGCTAGGGGTAAAATGGGTAGCACTTATAGAAAAAGTAGAGATCTGCAGCAACCTGTGATTGAAATACAGGGCTAGATCCAAATACTACATGAATAGAAAGTCATTATATGCAGTGGATTTTTGTTACTGTTCCTTCCTGTCTCTGTAATGCCATCAAAAGCCTCTCTTGAGCATCAGTGTGTGCTTCACACGATGGGAGAGTTTGTAGTGAGGCAGAAAAGTTGTCAAAAATGAGACAGCGTTGTTGCATGAGAATGAGAGCCATTTAAAGTTTTTCATATTTCATGAATTCATATCCTAATATACGATAGGTAGATCTATAGATGTTACAAAATGATACAGATTCTAGCAAACAAGAATGAAGCTTTTTTGAATCTGAAAGCATTTTAAGAGTTCCCCTGCCTTGGGGAAAACTTACTTTGTTAGCTGCACTTGAGAAGGCACTAGTCACGGCTGTAATTTATCTGGAACCATTTGTCATTGGTTTTGGCTCCCTCAGCCACCAACTATCCAATACAAAGTATTCTATTTGGCCACACAATAAAGCTGCTTGATAGTGCAAGGAAAATTTCCATTCAAGATCTTACTGCAGTTGGTTTGGCTCCTCTTTTGAAAGTAAAACCCTTGTGACTGCTAGAAGCATTTCTCCCTTGCATTGCTAGGTGCTTTGAAGCTTCCCAGTATTAAGCAAGGAACTTGTAAAAGCTCTTGCTGGGCAGCCAGAATGAATGCAGTCCTTATTGTAGTTGTTCAGTTAGCTTGCAATGAATGATTTTTTTGTGTCTGCTTGAAATGTGCATATATCATGACTGAGATATACAAAATAATACAGATTTTCTTAATATTTTTCTTTGTTTACATTTTATTTCTTCCCCTCTCTCCCCTTAGAGGAATGCAGTAGCATGGATAGTTGATGGTGAATTTGGAGCAGACGACTTCTGTTTAACTTAAATTTAGTCGTATTTTAAATGGCTTGGGATTTGGTGCAAACAAACATGATTGATAGCTGGACAGACATGCTCATCATGAAAAGAACCATTTTTTAAGCCCGACTGGGGCCAAACATTTTACCACCTTGCTTCATAGTAAACAGTTGAGATGAAGCACGTCGTTAGAACGTTGTTGGACACCATGTTGAAGTAACCCCCCATCGGTTGTGAAGAACTGTGCTACATTCAGGCTAACCATTGAACTCCGTATATACATTTTCCCCTTCTGCCATTTTGTCAGGCAGACTACTGTTCTTGTTGCTCTTCTGTGTAATGAAGTTTAAATGCTTGTTTGGAAAACCTTTTATTTAACAGTTTAGAAAGCTTGATAGAAAGAGTGCTTTAGTCTGAAGAGTACATGTTGGATAGGAAAGTATTTCCTTCTCTTGTTTCTCTGAGTCTATCTGCCTTATTTAGCTCGAGATCTTTGCAGCTTGGTTCATGGATTCTAGCCTTGCCCATTGCGCAGTATATCTAAATCCAGATGTTAAACCAGTGAATGACATGAAAAGCACTCTCAGTATCACACTTGACAAAAGGTTTTGTACTTTTCACGTAGCTTGTAACCCTGTAAATGGGTGAACAGCACAAATTTTTTTAAGAATAAATTATTTATAGCATTAAAATGACTTTGATTTGTATACGTTTGGAAAATAAACCAGCTTAAAAAGTGTCATCTACAAGTTAAAGCAGTATAATTGGTGCTCCTCTGAGTGTTGTGTAAGACCATTTGGCTGGCAGGAGTTTTACACAGATTATATAAAGTATTATTTAAAAAAAAACCTTTGTTTACCAACAAAACAATTTGAAAGCTTTCAGAATCATCAATAAAACTATTACAATGTAATTTCTGAAGTTAATAAAATGAAAATTCCAGATTGGCTAAAACTTGTGCAATGATTCTTATTTGAAACATAAAAACTAAAATGGGAGTGGGATAATATTTTAGCATCATCTTCCAAAACTAGTGGATTGACTGTGAATTTAAACATGTACATTATACAAGTGTTCCATATTATGTTCACCCCATAATTGTTTTCTCAGGGGATGCTTGTCAATTGCTTGATGTTAGGAATGGGTTGTTCTTATTTTTAGTTTCTATATGCAAAAATAATAATAAAAAAACTAGCCTGGTGTTTCCCATTTAACTGTTCTAAATTAAAAGATGAAAGGGCCATCCGTATGTCTAACAATGAAATGACAGCAATTAATATGGAAAAAAAATCAAGTTCATTTAGTACTAGCTAAAATAGATGGAAAGAGGTCTTTAATTTTGAGAGGAAGGTCCCATATTTGGAAGAGAATATACATTGCTTGTGCTTTATGTGCTTTTAATGCTCAGAATCTGTGATAAGGAATCACAGCCAATGTACTTCAGTGTATTTCCTAACTCAGATTTAGCGCATGTTTATCTTCATAACATTTGATTTAATCAGTTGTCTGACAAAATTCCTTTAAATACTGTCAAATTAGGAAAAAGGTGGTACTCCAATTACTTAATGTAATAATTTAGTTTTTATAACTCAAATGGCAAAAAATGTCTTAGAAGACCAGGTTATGAAAGTCTTTTAAAGTAACAAAATGCTTTCCTCTTACGTTCTCTAATAGATTGAACATCTGTATGTGGCTCATTTTATTTCAGTTCATTTTATGGAGTAATTTTTCTTTGTTTGCTATAGTCAATTCATATATATTCTGTTCATTTGACATTATGTTCTTTATTTGAAATTGTTTAATAGTTATTTTTGAGCTTCAGTAATTCTTGACTATTACAGATACTTGCAGATATTCCCATTCAGCATCTTGAAATACTTTACATCTCTATAACCAACATGGTACTGGCACTGAACTTGCTTAACTCAAAACTATTTTAGGAGATTAAAGCAAAAATCAGGAGTGACTGAACTTGAAACAGTTTGCATAATTAAATTTCTTCAGGTTATTCAAAGCAATCTGTGGCTTGCAAGTAAAACTTCATGCACAGACTCTAACAAACACCTTCTGAATCTATAGCTTTCCCTTTTTTGAAATGTAACACTAAAGGGAAACTAAATTAAGAGCTCTGAAGTGGGCATATTACTTCCTTTGATTTTTCTTCTGAGGAATTTCAAAAATGCATGTAAGCATTTCAAGAATGGAGCTGAATAAGAGGCGCGTTTTGAAAGTGCCATTTCTAAATTTCATTGCATAATAGAAGCGATGGAGTTTTTAAGTAGCAGCTCCAGATGTAAAGTTAACATCTGTTGCCAGGCGCAACCTCCTGTTTCTATGACTACATTTTGAGACAAGAAAATATGTCCAACTGTCAAATTGTCTCACAGTGTTAACACTGCTAAGACTTTTTGTGGGTGTGAATTGGAAAGCACCTCTGCCACATTTCATATAAACTAAAATTGTAAGAATCATTGTAAGAACACATGGAAGAGGCGTATCTGCAATATTCTCATTTTCGTACAGTAGATATTTTCTAATCTCAGCTGTAAATTATAGAGCAATCACTACTTGTCCATGTAACAGAGAAGATGATCTATGAAAACAAGTTAGCATCTTGCCTTAGGATTTTGACCATCAATTCCAAACTAGGCACACAAGCTATAAATTATCTTGCCACAATGCTTCTCATCTTAATCAGGTAAGTCACTTTAAAAATAGGAGCACAAAAGAGGAAAAGAAATTTAATTTTTATGTAATCCATAAATAGCCTTGTAAATGTGTAGCTAGCTTCCCTCAGTTTTGAAATGAGGGGAGCATAAGAAAAAATTAATATGAAGTCACAGGTGGAAAACTACCCAATTTTTTCCAATAATTTCATTCTGACTTCTAAACAGGTATTGTTGAATGTCATTTAACTAATGCTAGATATTTAGTGCCATGTTAACTACAAAAATCTCCCACCCCCTTAAAATGGTTATAAATTAAAATATTTCTCATACCAATTCTATGCTGGCAATAGATATATTAGGGGAAGGAGTAACTTTTTTTTAACAGCAGAAGAATGTCTAGTTTGTAATTTGGGGTAGAAAGGGAAAATGAACCAATTTTCAGTAAGATTTGGTGCCCTTTACCTGTACCCCAAAGCACACAAGTTGCCTCGGATTGATGCATTTCAGATAAATTATTAACCATATATAATTTTTTTTAAATAAATAACACACACACAAATGCATTGGCTTGTCTCCATTTTCAGCTGCCATAGAACAAACCACTTGTTTGACAGATAATTAGAATTTTGGAAATGCTTTCTGAACAGGGAGAACTTAATTGATGTGTGCAGTGTTGTCTACAATAGCTGCTCTTGTTGCTGGAACACAAACTAGAAACTTGTTTCCTACTTGCTGGCTTCATATGGTTTGGATTCAGCAAAGTGTGTATGGTATGAATGTGTGTGTGTGAAACAGAATCGGTCATGGAACCAACTAGGTACATGTCATGTTTTACTGAATAATTTTAAGTCATGTTGTGTGTGTGTGTCTTGTCCTCTAACGTTAACATTTGGTTAATACAAATATATTTTTATAAATATTAAGTACAGTGTGCCCCATCTTTTAAGTGTTTCATTGTTAAAATAAGTGTACTAGATTTTATTCTTAACACTTACTGGCACAGATGGAAAAAGCTATTGGCTCTGAAAATGTATGAGGAAGAAACATTCTCAAAGTGTGTGTACTTACAAACCAAGCTGTAGAGATCAAGAAAAGAACTTTTACTGTTCTCAAATTTCTAAATTGTCAAGATTTATATGGAGTTGTGGTTGAACTAGTTAACTCTTAGAGCTTTTGGTATGTAATGACTATTTGCTATGGACTGATATTAAATGTTTCAAAGGATTGCGTTATTAAACTTTCTGGATTTTGTTACTTTCCTCTTGAATTATATTAAATAGTTTAAATTTCTTTTCTCTCTGACA